CTGACTTTTTAACATCAAGGAAAATTGGTTTCATTCTTTGATGATGTCTTGTTCTTGGTTCCCCCCCCCTCCAGTGTGTGTGTGTGTGTGTGTGTGTGTGTGTGTGTGTGTGTGTGTGTGTGTGTGTGTGTATTATTCCTTGTCTTTGTTCTATGTCCTGGGAAGTTCACATGAATCTATCTTATGGTTTCTTGTGCCTTTAAAAGCTTAGAAAACATATGCACTTTACCACTGAGCTACAGCCCTAGACTTTGACAAATGTTTTTAATCAAAGACATCCTTCTAGCCTTTTAATTGTACCTCTCCTGTATGCCACCATCAACATGTTAAGGTCTTTATTTTCTTAACAGCAGTTTTGGTTTCACAAACAAGTGGAGAGTCATAGACACAAACTTCTCTTAAACCTCAAAACCCTATACCCCTATAACCTCCCCAGTTTTTCTGATTGTATAGCATCCTATTATCATTCTACACTGGTATCTTAGTTAGGGTTTCTATTGCTGTGATAAAACACCATGACCAAAAAGCAAATTGGGGACGAAAGGGTTTATTCAGCTTACACTTCCATATCACTGTTCATCATTAAAGAAAGTCAGGACAGGAACTCAAATAGGGCAGAAACCTAGAGGCAAGAGATGATGCAGAGGCCATGGAAGGGTGCTACTTACTGACTTGATCCCTATGACTTGCTCAGCCTGCTGTCTTTTTTTGTTTGTTGGTTGGTTGGTTGGGGTTTTGTTTGTTTGTTTGTTTTTCAAGACAGGTTTTTCTGTATTGTTTTGGAGGTTGCCCTGGAACTCACTCTGTAGACCAGGCTGGACTTGAACTCACAGAAATCTGCCTGCCTCTGCCTCCCGAGTGCTGGGATTAAAAGAGAGCACCACCAGTCTGCTGTCTTATAGAACCCAAGACTACCAGCCCAGAGATGACACCACCAACAGGAGTGGAGCCATCCCGCATCAATCACTAGTAAGAAAATGCCCTACAGAGTTGCCTACAGCTAGGTCTTATGGAGGCATCTTCTCAGTTGTGGTTTCCTCCTTTCAGATCACTCTAGCTTGTGTCAAGTTGATGTAAAACTATCCAGCACAATTGGTCATTTTTTTATTCTTGTGGACTTTCTTCATGTTGTTGTGCCCAAATTCCGAACCCCCAAATCACCAAGAGACCCCTTTCCGATGCAAAAATCAAAGAATCTTTTATTATTTAACGAGCTAACTGTATTAACTGGAGCCCTCTGTCCATTCCACACAGCATGTGGAGATAGAAGGACTTGGAGGGGCCGTGGGGCAAGCAGTTTATTGAGGTGAGCAAGGGGAGTGTCTGGGGATACACAACAGTCTCAAGATTGGTGCTCGTCCAGGCTTGGGCCATCTATCCTGTGCTGATTGGTCAACTGGTTGCTATGGCCTGTAGGCCCTCCCAGGGAGGTTGCTATGCTCTGCATGCCACTGTTACCTCACTTTTACAGTAAAGCACGTCCAGAGCCCTTAAAGCATGTCCAGAGTCCGCCAGTTAACCTACATCTTTTCTGCAGCCTATCGTGACTGCTAAAGCAGGGGGCTGGGTAAGGGTCTGGCCCCTTCAATGTGTCTGTTTATATGCAAAACTAAAGCCATAAGGAGCTGGCATTGGTGTGGTGATATTTTGTTTGTACTTCAACAAATAAAGCTTGCCTGAAGATCAGAGTGTGGAGCTAGCCACACTAATTAGCCATAGAGGCCATGCAGTGGTGGCCTCCCAGCATTTGGGAGACAAAGGCAGATGAATCTCTGAGAGTTCAAGGCCACCTTTGGCTGCACAAGACTGAATCAGTCTAAAAGAAAAACAGAGCTCACACCTTTGATCCCAGCATTTGTGATTACATGTCTTTAATCCCAGCACTAGAGAGGTGAAGACAGGAGAGACATGGCTGGGTGGAGAGAGGAATATAAGGTGTGAGGAGACAGGAGCTCAGAGCATTCAGTCTGAGGATTCATAGACACAGGATTGCCCCTTTGGTCTGAGGATTCTATAGAGGTAAAAGCTTTCTCTAGTGGCTGGCTGTTCTACTTCTCTGATCTCTCAGTCTTCACCCCCTAATATCTAACTAATTAGGATTGCACTTCACATTGGAGTTCTGGGTACTAGACTCATTTGTGGGATATTTGTTTACACTGTGTGAAGATATATCTGTGTTTTGCCTCACCTGCCTAAGGCACCTGATTAGTTTAATAAAGAGCTGAATGACCAATAGCTAAGCAGGAAAGAATAGGCAGAACTTCTGGGCAGAAAGAGGAACTCAGGGTTAGAATCTGGTATGGGAGGAGAAGCCAGTGAGACATTGAGGGAGTTGGACATATAGAATGGAGAAGAGGTAAAGAGGCTCATGGCAGAATGTAGATTAATAGAAACAAGTTAATTTAAGTTGTAAAAGCTAGTTGAAAGCAGCCTAAGCTAAAGGCCAAGCTTTCATAATTAATAACAAGTCTCCATGTCATTATTTAGTGGCCGGTGGTACCAAAAGAAACTCAGACAAGAAAGTCCAACTACACGCACTTGTTCATTCTTTATCTTAATATGACCCGGAAGCAAGATGGCCAAAGGCAGACTGTCTCTTTGGGCTCACAGTGTGAATAGCTAGTCTTGATCCTGATTCGCTCCATCAGCAGCATCAACTTCGTTTGTCCTGGAGAAACCCAGAGGAGAAGCGTTGGGTTAAAGGTAAGTTCTTCAAATGAAACGCAGTAGTATTGGTTGCATCACTCAAAAATATCTGGAGAGGTTTCTCTGCCCCTCGCTCCCCACACTCTGCTGTATCACTCCCCTGCTTTTATGTCTGAAGGACAATCTTCATCTGTGATCTCACACTTTCAAAAGCATTCCATCAGAGCAAGGCTAACCAGACCTTGCTTGTTTCTCTCAAGCTTTGGTCTTAGGCATAAGGTTTATCAAAAGCTCACTGAACATAATCACAGACCAAAGATTAGGAAATACTCTGATTATAAGTAATTCTGATATTTGCTTGTGATCTTCCTTCTTTGGTATTTTGCTGATGTTAATTAATGTTGTTTTTATCAAAGACTCTTGGCTAGGAGTTGCTTTTACATAACTCCACTTAATGGTCAGGATTCATTGTAGAAATTGGAGCTATACTAATACAGACAATAATAAGTAAATGACAGGGAAAGGGTATCTAGAGAGTTTGAGAAATATATAGAACCTCTTGGTGAAGGTTTAGAAGACAGAAAAGTTACTAGAAACCTTGCATATCTCTCTCTCCCTCTCTCTCTCTCTCTCTCTCTCTCTCTCTCTCTCTCTCTCTCTCTCTCTCTCTCTCTGACCCTGACTTTGAAATGACAAAGAACATGACTACACAAAATTTCATATAACATTCTTTATAATAAAGAAAAATTGCCAGATAGTAGTGGTACACACCTTTAATCCCAGCTCTCAGGAAGCAGAGGCAGCAGATCTCTGTGAGTCTGAGGCCATCCTGGTCTACAGAGCAAGTTCAAAGACAGTCAGGACTACACAGAGAAACCCTGTATCAAAAGACAAAAAATAATAATAATAATGATTATGATGGTGGTGGTGGTGACAAAAATCCAAAACATCATGAATGCTTAAAACAAGAATTCACAGTCCTTAACTGATGACTGGAGAGATGGCTCAGTAACATGATAAATAGAAGACCCAGAGACAGATAGTGAGGTTCAAGCTGAAGATCAGGGAAGCAAAGCAGCCAAGCTACTAGAGAGCTCTTACCTCTAACAGGACTGGGGCGTTCCTATCCTCAATGTAGCTGGAGAATAAGTCCCTCCTATCGTCAATGTGTCTGGAGAATGAATGCTCTCTACTGAGACCTTGCTCCTGTCTTATATACCTCCTATGAGTCCTGGGATTAAAGGTGTAAACTATAATTCTCTTTTAGACTGATTCAATCTTGTGTAGATCTGGGTAGTCTTGGACTCCCAGAGATTTGTCTACCTCTTAATCCCGAGTCCTAGGATTAAAGATGTGTACTACCACCTCCTACCTTCTGGCTGCTGGGATTAAAGGTGTGTGCCTGGTTTCCATGACTTGTGGCTGACTTTGCTTTCTGAATCTTCAGACAAGCTTTAATAAATCATAAATAATATATTACCACAGTTAAGAGCACTGACTGCTCTTGCCGAGGACCCTGGCTGAGGTTCCTAATACCCATGTACTCCACTCACAATCATTTGTAGCTCTAGCTCTGGGAGATCTGACTCCATCTCAGGCCTCTGTGAGTATTTCATGCATGTGGTGAACTTATAAACATGCAAACAAAACACTCACACACATAAAATAAATCTTTTTTTTTTTGCTTGTTTTTTGCAGGGAGGGGGTCTTTCTATGGCCCTGGCTGTTCTGGAACTCTCTGTATAGAGCAGGCTGGCCTTGAATTCACAGAGATTCTCCTATTTCTGCATGGCCACTACACCTGGCTAAATACATCTTAAAAATTAAAAATAAAGTGATGACTGTAGGCTTGGGCTATAGTTTAATGACAAAGCACTTACCTAGCATGTGTGAAGCCCTCAGTTAAATTCCAAACACTGAATGAATAAATAAATACATACATACATACATACAGTGGTGACTATACAAAAAAAGTGGGTGTTTGTAGTTACACATAGAAAGTGAGACTAAAGAAGCAGACAATAAAAGTGGATTTGTTTGGGCTTAGACTTATGAAATACAGACTCTTTTACATGATGTTCTGAGTTGGTTCTTTTACAAATATTGAAAGTATTGTCTTTAACTCTCTCCTACACCCACAGAAGTCTTTGTTAGAAAGAAAGGCAGCAAGCCTGACCCCCAAACAGAAGACAGAAGCCACATATTGGGCTCATATGAGGTCTCTCTGCACCCTCTGCATTGTGGATGAAGGATATATGTTGGGGAAGTCTTATGCTAATAAAGCACTGTCTGGCCAATAGGAATCTAGATAGGTGGGGCTAGGAATCCAGGAGGATTCTGGGTAGGAGAAACACAGGAGAGTCAACATGTAACCGCCATGGGGGTAGGAGCCCAGAACTATTCTCCGGTAAGAGACATACTTAGATTAACAATTATGGGGTAATTACTTAAAGCAGAGCTAGCCAGTAAGAGACAAGCAAGGCCAACAGCTTCATAATGAATATAGCCTCCTGTGTGTTTATTTGGGACTCATGCGGATCTCGAAACAGGCTGGCGCGGCAGAGCCCAGGCGACTGGCGGGGGATAAACCAAAGCGGCTAGCAAGGAAAAAGCTTCTCTTAACAGATATATGTTCTGACCTCTTCATTTCCTGCCCCCAACTTCATTTTTTGGATTGAAATCAGTTTGTCCACAATATAAAGGGAAATGTTGGGCTGGTTTCTATCCCAAGGAAGTTGATTGGTCAGCTGAGAGGGGAAGTTCTTTGCAGAACCTGGAGATGAACTCTTTGTGAACCTGTGGGTCTCTCCTCTTTTGGTCTTTCTCAAGTTCAACTTCCCTTTCAACCAGCTGCTGAGTTACCCCAGTGAGTCGTGGCCCTTCACTCTATTGTTTGCTTTGCTGCTGTTTGTTTGTTTGTTTTTCTGACAGGGTCTCCCTCTGTAGCCCAAGATATCCTGGAAGTCACTGTGTAGCCCGGATTAGGCTTAGATTCACAGCCATCTTTCTGTCTTAGCCTCCCAAAGGCTGAGATTACCGGCATGTGCCAGTGTGTCTGGACTTCGCTTTCCATGTGTGTTTTAAAGACATCTTACATATATCTTTAAAGTCATCTTAGTTCTGTGCTAACTCTGTTGAGATACATATTTGAATCACATTAAGTTTGCAGATCTGTTTTCAAAGAACTGGCCTCTTTCTAGTTTCTGAAGCAGAAGTCTTGAAGACTTCCGCATAGATCTATAAAGTCCTGAGGGCTTGAAATTCTCAAACACGTCTACTGGTTCCTTTTTTTGCATTAAAAAATTCATTTTATTTAAGAAAAAAATTTAGACTGATGAGTAAGCTTATCATTGACTGGCCTTTGAGGAGTCCCAGAGAACAAGCCCTACATGCCAGATGCCTGCATGGTTCTCCAAACCGGCCAGAGTCCAACGGAAGAAACAATTCAGGAAGACCTCTCCTAGAGACCAGGGAGCCTGGCTGGTTCCGCAGGCCACTGGTGTGTGCATGGCCGGTGAACCACGGTCAGGGATGGTCAAGCTCTCTGGGGCTGACCGCAGTGGAGATGGAAGGAGCCAGGTCACTGTGCCTGTGTTTCTCATTTTGTTTGTGAATTTCTCCATGTCTGTTTTTTTTTTCTTTTCTTTTTGAGACAAGGTTTCTCTGTGTAGCAGCTCTGACTGTCCTGGAACTCTCTCTGTAGACCAGGCTGGCCTTGCGATATGCCTGCTCTTCTTCCCGAGTGCCTGGATCAAAGGCGCTGTGAAGAGACAACCGTCTTTGCTACTCTTATGTCTACAAACACTGTGCCATTTGTAGTGACTCGGCAGCACCACTTTTTGGCACTTGCTATTCTCAGACAATGGAATTTTCGAATTTTCTTTATCAATATTTTGACCCTAATATTTGTTTTCTTTGTTATGCTGCTGTGGCTAGAGTCTCCAATATGTTAACTAGAAGCAGTGGGCAAGAGCATTCCTGTGCACCTTCCTTGACCTCAGAGGAATGCTTCCAGAGTTTTCCCATTTAGGATAAAGCTTACATTTTTGCACATTTGTTAAATTATGTGTGTGTCTGTGGAGGGGTTGCACACATGACTGCAAAGCCTGCAAAGACGAGAAGATATCAGATACCATGGAGCTGGAATTATAGGTGATTGTAAGCCTCCTGACATGGGCGCTGGGAACCAAAGTAGAGGGTCCTCTGCAAAGCAGAACATGCACTTAGTGGCTGAGCCACCTTTCCACCCCTGAAACACGCATCTCAATTATCACAGTTAAGACGCTCTTTCCCAGCCCCACCAGAAACTTCTTTTCTATGTCTTCTCGAGTCAAGTTTTCAGTACCATCACAACTAGTTTGCCTTTGAAGGCTACTTTTGGCCATTCTCCTTCTTACATTCTCTTTCTCTCTCCCTCTCCCTCTCCCTCTCCCTCCCTCCCTCCCTCCCTCCCTCCCTCCCTCCCTCCCTCCCTCCCTCTCTCTCTCTCTCTCTCTCTCTCTCTCTCTCTCTCTCTCTCTCTCTCTCTCTCTCTCTGTGCTTTTCAAGACAAGGTTTCTCTTTGAAACAGTCCTGGCTGTCCTGGAACTCACTCTGAATACCAGGCTAGCCTCAAACGCATCTGCCTCTGCCTCCTAAGTGCTGGAATTAAAGACACATGTGCTACTACTGCCTGTCTTTCTTTTTCATTTTTAAATGAATATAATTACAGCATTTACCCCTTCCTTCTCCTTTCTACAACCTCTCCTATGTCCCCCAATTGATACACACACACACAATTTTCTAGCTGAGTTCATCAGTGTTACTTGTATGTATGTGTTTTACAGCGCTGATTACTAAGAAATATATAATCATTTAGGGGGCTTATCCCTGGGAAAGACTATTTCTCTGTCTCTCAGCAGTGTTTAACTGCCTGTAGCTCTTCATCTAGGGGTGGAACTTGTAAGATTTGCCCATCCACTTTGTCACATTGACTGGTGTTGTCATTGTTCAGGTCTTGTTTAGGCATATTGTTGAGATTCCGTGGATGTAGCTAACCTGTCAGATCTAGAAGACAGTCGTGAGCAGACTTCTGGCCCTCTGACCCTTACAGTCTTTTCCACCCCCACTCCTTTCTGAGACACTCTCTGAACTTTAGGTGTGAGTGTTGGGTTGTAGATGTATTATTTGAAGATGGGCACTCACAGTTTGTTGTTCTCTGTTATGGATGGTTATGAGATGCTAAGTGGGTGTTAGAAGTTGAACCCAGATCCTCTGCAAGAACGAGTACTCGTAACCACTGAGCTGTCTCTCTAGCCTGTTTACTTTTTAAGAATTATTCATATATATATTAAAATTATGTGTATATATAAATACATGCAGTTTTCCATCCATTTATTTTTAACTCACCTAAAGAACTAAATTTGAAGTGAATTTCTTGCAGAGAGCACACAGTTGAGTCACACTTTATGGCCTACCCTGGCTATTTATGCATCTTAACTGCTGTCCTAAATCTCTTCCATCTCATATAGCTATTAGCATGTTAGGGCTTAAATCTACCATTTTGTTTCTTGTTTTCTGTATCTTGATCCTCGTTTTCTTTTTCTTACTCCTATAATTACTTGAAAAATTTTTAGCTATTTATCTCTATTTGTTACAGTGCTTTTTAAAAATTCGGGTAGGACAGGGCGGCCAGACAGGCCTCAGACTTGCTACATACCTGCTAATCCCTGATGTGGCATATAAATTGAAGATGTGTTACTTTCATTTATGCTGTGGAATATTTGTTTAATGGTGCAAAGATGTGTTGTATTATTTTATGTTGCATTTGTTTAACTCTGTGTTACTTTGTCTGTCTGAACACCTGATTGGCCTAATAAAGAGCTGAACAGCCAATACCTAGGCAGGAGAGAGGGATAGGCAGGGCTGGCAGGCAGAGAGAATAAATAAGAGGAGAAGGGAAGAATGGAGAGGAGAGGAGGATATCAAGAACAAGTTACTCAGCCACACAGCTAACTATGGAGTAAGAAGTAAAGAAAGATATATAGAATAGACAAAGGTTAAAGCCCAGAGGTAAAAAGTAGGTGGGATAATTTAAGTTAAGAAAAGCTGGCTGGAAACAAGTCATGCTAAGGCAAGGCATTCATAAGTAAGAACAAGTCCCCATGTATTTATTTGGGAGCCTGGTGGTGGGTCCCCAAAGAGGAAAAAAAGCACAAATCCCACCATGACAATAAGACCACTACCACAATTTGAGCCAAATTTGAAGCAAGCTTGATTTTTATTGGGGGTCCCAAGAACTGGCCAGCAACTGCCTCCTAAATTGGGTTAAAGAGAGCAGCCCTGAACCCATTTCTCAGGCCCCTTTTAAGGAGTAAAATCATAAGTAGTTGCAAAGGAGGTTTACAGAGAGACAACAGAGCAATAAGAAAATGCAGGAAATATCTCCAAAAATCAGCATGGGGCCACCATGTGATTAGGGAGGGTTCAGAGAGGGTCAACATAAGTCGAGGTCATGGGTTAGGGAAGTTCAGGAAACAGCAGCTCATCTCTCATGGTAAATAGAAACATTTAACAGTTCAGCATAATGACTCTTGCCTCCAAAATGAAGACAGGCAAATTCCTCATATCCAAGGATGACAAGCTCTTGACCCTTCTGTTTCTATCTCCTGAGTCCTAGAATTACAGGCATGCAGTTGCCATAATCAGTCAGTATGGCACTGAAGCCAGAATTTCCTGCATGCTAGGCAAGCACTCTACCAAATGAACTACGTCTCCAGTCCTGTTTACGGTGTTTTGAGTCCATTGACACCTTCACATAGCTTTTTTGATGTCTTTTCTGGACATTGTATATGTCTATACATACCATCACAATCTGCTGGTATCATCATTTTAGCAACTCACAGACAAGCCCTGGGAAAGCCAGGAACATTAATCACGAAGGGTCGCTCCTCAATACCTCACCCAAATCCCCCAGAATGGCTATCCCAGGCTCTTCTTCACTAGATCTTTAGCTTTAACTTTGTTTCTCAGTCAATAGAACCCATCCTTAGGGGAGATGTCACATGTACTTCCCAGTCTGCTGACCTCTGGTCAGGAATCACACCAGATCCTAGAGCGCCCCTGCGCCCCCGCGCCCCGCCCTGGAGACAGGGTTTCTCTGTAGCTTTGGAGCCTATCCTGGAAACTCCCTTTATGGACCAGGCTGGCTTCGAACTCTGCTTCCCAAGTGCTGGGCTAAAAGTATGCGTCATCATCACCACCACCACCACCACCACCACCCAGCTATAAAACCCATCTTCATGGTAGAGGTCAATGTGTACTCTGCAAAGGAGTTTCAATGCAGTCAGGCCTTACTGTGCACTTAGGATTGAGATAATTGTTACCAGGAAACCTTTTTTCCTAAATTGTACTTGACTTAAGTATGTCTAAAATGAACTGGCCTCGTGCCAGACTCTGGAAGTTTGAACCAGTTAGGGTGTTGGTGGCATACCCTTTAATCTCAGAACTTTGGAAGCAGAGGCAGGCAGATCTCTGTGAGTTCCAGGCCAGCCTGGTCTACAGAGAGAGCTCCAGGACAGCCAGAGCTACACAGAGAAAAAGAAGAAGAGGAGGAGGAGAAGTTTGAACCAGCACCTGCCTGCCTAAGTCACACTGAACTGGTTTTCCTTCTTATCACATGAAGACAATTTGTCTGCTGACCATGACCCCCACATTATGCATTTGAGATCAAATTTGTCTGCAATTATCAGATACAGTTTAGAAAACTCAAGAGTAGGAAGAGCTATTCATGGTGGCTCAGACCTATAATCCCAACACTAGAGACACTGAGGGAAGAGTATCACCGAGGGCTCAAGGTCTAAATGACTTAGTGAGCTCTAAGATAGCCTGGGCTACAAAGAGAGACCTTGCCTCAAAACACAAAGCAAAACAAACATAGAGAAAGGACAGTTTGCTTTTATTTGCTTGCATTTTCCCTCATTTATAATCTATCCATTTTCCTGCAAATAACATAATTTCATTTTTTATTCCTTGCCAGATAATTCTAAAATTGATGTAATCTTGCTGCTGGTGTTAATAAGTTTGTGTGTGTGTGAGAAAGAGAGTGTGTGTGTGTGGTGTGTGTAAGAGAGTCTGTGAGAGAGAGTGTGTGTGTGAGACAGTGTGTGTAGGAGAGAGAGAGAGAAAGAGAGAGACAGACAGAGAGAGAGAGAGAGAGAATGTGTGTGTGTGTGTGTGTGTGTGTGTGTGTGTGTGTGTGTGTGTGTGTGTTATGTGGGTATGCATGTCCATACATGCTCATGAGGAGAAGACCAGAGGTCAATGTCAGGTGTTTTTCTCAGCCACTCCCCATCTTACTTTTTGAACCTAGGTTTCACTAATTCAGCAGATTGACTGGCCAGCTAGTCCTTGAGAGCCTGACTTTGCCTCCCCCAAACTGGGATTATAGGCCCCTGCTCCCACACCTGACTTTTTATGTGGGTTCTGGGAATCTGAACTCAGATCCTCATGCTTGTGGAGCAGACGCTACTCACTGAGCCATCTCCCAAGCCCCTATAGAAGTTGTCTTTTTAATGTTCAATTTGGGCTTTTCCTGGTTCTCAGTTTATTCTGTAGCTAAATGCTTGATTCCCCTTAAGTTTATCTCTTAACTTCCTTAATGCCCAGTGAGAGAGCATTTGAAATTGGAGCCTTAGGGGAGTAATTAGGGTTAGATGAAGTTATGAGGGAGGGGCTGCGGTCTGCTGAGAAGGATGCTCTCAGAAGAAGAAACAGCTATGGTGGCACATTCTGCTATCCCTCACTCCATAGGATGCCAACCTTGAAGTCAGCGTGGATTACACAAGGAGACCCTGTCTCAGAGAGAGACAGTGGCAGAGAGAGAGAGGAGAGAGAGAGAGAGAGACAGAGAGAGAGAGAGAGAGAAGAGAGAGAGAGAGACAGAGACAGAGAGACAGAGACAGAGAGAGAGACAGAGAGACAGAGAGACAGAGAGAGAGAGAGAGAGAGAGAGAGAGAGAGGAGAGAGAGAGAGAGAGAGAGACAGAGAGAGAGAGACAGAGAGAGACAGAGAGAGACAGAGAGACAGAGAGAGACAGAGAGACAGAGAGAGACAGAGAGAGACAGAGAGACAGAGAGAGACAGAGAGACAGAGAGAGACAGAGAGAGACAGAGAGACAGAGAGAGACAGAGAGACAGAGAGAGCATTGTACGGAGATGAAGAAATCCTGAGGGAGTGGAGTTCTGACATGGGTAGGACAAGACTGTTTCCCCTCAATGACCAGGCTAAAGAAGGATGCCAAATCTTTCCTTGGGGGTTCCAGTGATAGTGATGTTATCAGTGTGTACAAAAACTAGCTACTGCAACTTCCTCTTCCTGGATATTTACAGCCTGAGACTGCTTATCTAAACCTCCTTCCCAGACTAGATAATCTACTTCCTGCGCTATGTTTAATAAACACACTAAGATTTCAAGTTGTGGTTTCAGGTAGCTCCTTCATGGTCCAGACGCCCACAGGACCCCAGCTCTCCGGTACATGTGTCTGTATTCCTGCACTGCCCCGTCAGAGTTCCAGGATTCAGGCCTCACTGGACACGGAAGAACATCAAGAATGTGTTCTCTCTCTGCCCCTCATTGGAGCACAGAGTTACCTGTAATGGAGGATCCAGCAAGAAATGGGCATCTGCAAGCCAAGGAAGGGAGAATCGAGGATGTCACAGTCGCCATGGCTGAGACACAAATTCTAGTGTTCATGCCACCCAAACTGGAGGTGTTTATGAGTAAAAATCTGACCAGGCAAGCACATCGTAGTACAGCAAGTAGTTGATTTAAACCTAGAAATCTTGGGTGTTTGCACGCTGAGACTCTCAACCTGTTCCAGAAGCATAAGGGGCTACAGGTTCCATGTCATCATTGCCAAGTGTAGGTAAGAGGACAAGTTCTCAACCTAGCCTCCAACCCCCACGTACCATCTGTGCAAAAAGGGAGGGGGCTTCCCATGACTGAGTTTGGGAAACGGAAGCCCGGGCTCCCTACATGGTCTCTGCACTAACTGCAGGGTGAGGGAATCTTATTAACGCTCAGCAGGAGAGAGTCCCAGCTCACTGCTCCGCCTTCCCTGCTGTTCCTCCAGCAGGGAGTTCGGTGCCTCGCTGCAGATGAGGGTAGGATCGACAATCCCACTCAGCATTTGCTAGCATATGGGTGATAAAGTCACAGATTTTCCCTCCTTTGGTGCTTGGCTAGAGTACAGCAACTTTCCTTAGCACTAAGTCTTTGAGTTTTGTCTGTTTTTTCATATACATTAGTTGTTCACTATTCCTACTGATAATATTTCTGCTGTACTTGGCATTTTAAGTATACCCCCAAAGGCCTTGTCTCTAGGTACTATCATTGAAGGTAGTAGACCTCTAAGAAATGGGACTTAATGGGAGGACTTTAAGTCACTGGAAGCATGCCCTCAAAGGGAATAATGGGACCTGAGCCTTCCTTTTCCATTTTTGTTTCCTGGCCATGAGGTGTCATAGGAGATGTCATTCTGTAAACCTGCCTCTCTTATTGGTTGTTAAATAAAGCACTGTTGGCCAATAGGGAAGCAAGATAGGTGTCTAGAAGGATTCTGGGAAATGTAGTGAAGGGAACCTTCACCATGTGATTCCCAGGAACAGGGGACGCAAGTCTGCATTCTCGGAAAGATAAGTCCTTATAAAAATATATATTGGTGATTATGGTCAATAATTAAGTCAGAGCTAGCCAATGAGAAACAATAGCAAATGACCAACAGTTTCATAATTAATAGTGTCCTGTGTGTTATGTGGGGGTTCAGACAGCTCAGCAGGGCCCAAGCAGTTGGCAGGGAAGACAACACGTTACAGCGTGTGAGCAGTTTTTTCTGCCACACACTCCCATCATGATGTGCTGTCATGGGCCCAGAGCCACTAGCCAAGCAATCAACCATGGGCTGAAATCTCTGAAACCATGAACTGAAATAAACCTTTCTCTCTCCCCCTCATGCTCTACTCTTGCCTGTATATACAGCCAAACCCTTTGACTTTATAAGTTAATTACCTCACGTATTTGTTATAGTGATGGAAAGCTGGTAGACAGCTTAATATATAAGGTTTATTAATATACTGCATGTATATGAATATTGATGTACTTTATATATTTAAGTAGTCTAAGGTGATTTCATTGTCAAAAACATATATATATATATCAATATTTACTCCTATTTATAGCCTCTCTTTTGTTCTGTTAATGGTGTCTTTTGATGTACAGAAGTGTTGTGGTGTATTTGTTTAACTATGTAAAGATGTGTTTCTGTTTTACCTTGCCTGACTAAGGCACCTGATTGGTCTAATAAAAAGCTAAATGGCCAACAGAAAGGGAGGAGGTATAGGTGGGACTTCTAGGCAGGGAGAGTAAGGAGGAGGAGGAATTTAGGCTTGGGGAAGAAAGAAAAGAGATGCCAGGGGCCAGACACACAGACATGCAGGCAGCAGAAAAGTAGGACATACAGAATGAAAGAGAGGTTAAAAAGCCCTGAGGCAAAACATAGATGAATAGAAATGGGTTCAATTAAGTTAAAAGAGCTAGTGTGACAAGCCCAAGTCAAGGCCAAGTATTCATAATTAATAGTCTCCATGTCTTTATTTGGGAGCTGGTTGGTGGCCCAAAGAAAATTTCAGCTACAAAGGGCACCCAACATGGGCCTGAATTGCTACACAGAGCCTGAGAAATCTGGTTTCGGGGGCATTCCGCTTCTTCATGAGGCACTGCTGTACAGCAGAGCACTTGAACAGCCAGCATGCTAAGTAAAAATGCCTGCCATAGTGCAGATGCCACTTCCCAGAACTGGGGTGGTCAAATACCACTCTCAGGTAAACGCAGCTCCCGAAGCTCCCGACCAGACTGGCAGGCTTAAGGCTCAGCTCTTGTGGACACAAGGAGCAGGCAAAGTCAACCGCCAGAGCCTCATGGCAGAAGTTCCTAGCTGCCGCTTAGCAGTTTAAGGTGCACAGTAAAACAGGCCCAGAACAAAAACTCCTCTAAACAGGTTACAGTGTACATAGGTGCTTAAGAAAGAAAAGAAAATGGGTGTAGACATTCATAGGAAAAGTAGTTTAAAAATAATAAAATAAAGTCTTTTTTAAAAGAATGAAGTAATATAAAAAGAATAAGCCATGTAAAGATTGGAAATACGCAGGGAATCTGGATTCTGTATGATGTTTTGTTAACTTTGAATTTTTTAAATGCTGATGAACAAATGGCAGCAACTGAAAGACATGGAATTATAAAAGGAACTGCTGAATTAAACCAGCCTAGATACTTCAGGGATGTCTTAACTTTAAAATGGAATTCAGAAATGTATTGTGTTGGAGGAGAGGCTATGCTTTTGTTTCCACAGGAAATGAAAGACTGTGGATTCCTTCAAAATTAATAGAGACCATATATGATTGGGGGAGACTCCCTGGAAATCTTGGCTACCAACATAAAGAAATAAATCTAGAAAAACTGTAAGACGGGTTACATATATGCTGATTTCTTGACATGGGAACAGCTCTGAGACTGGATGAGACATGATAAATCTTGTTGGTTACAGAGTCCTCGTGACTTATCATGACATTACCTCCTTTCATATGGCATGGATAAAGGTTTGGTTATACAGTCCAAACTTATATAAAGTTGACAGATGTCTTTTACCTGTTCGAATATAAAACAAAAAATTCATCTTTGCCTGGTTTGTGTACAATAAACAGTCCATACTTGTACCAATGCAGATATGTATGTTACATACCAGCTTTAAAAGTTTATGTGTTTTCAGAGCAAGGGGACCAGAACCAATGAAAACTGTGGCCCAAGTCATCCATCCTCTCAGAGTTCTGCATTCAGCCTCACAGACAACTTCAGCCCGGACTTCAGATAAGCCTAGATTTTCCCATTACACAGAGAATGAACAACAAATGTTATAGCTAGTTTTCTTAGCACTTGACCATTATCTCAATTTTCTCAGGGCCCTCTGGAGGTGCCATCAGCCCCAGACAAGAGGAAACAGTCTAGAGAGCCCAATGCCCACATACCCAAGAGGTAGGGCTATGGTCATTTGGTGGGTTATAGATGTTTGTCATCATTTAGTGGGGATATAGGAATATAGAATAAGAAAGACAACTATTCATCTTAAATATGTTACACTGGTGTATATTGATACATTGATATATTGATATAAATTTAAGGTTATTTTTGTAGGAAAGTAGGACATACAGAATGAAATGTAAAAAACCCTGAGGCAAAACTTAGTGTGACAAGCCTAAGCCAAGGTCAAGCATGCAGTAGGACACCCCCCATCAACTGTTGAGCTTTGCCAAGCAAAGTGGGACAGTTCTTCAAAATTCCTGCTTCACAGAAAAGTCCTGTCAGATATTCTAGGTCTGTAGGCAGAAGACGGATGCCTCAACATTTCAGGGGAAACTTGGGTGGTTGCCCAGGCAGCCAGATATATTTGTCATTTCCATGGTTTTGGAAAGTTCATGCTTTGCACTTCCTTTTTATTCAAGTGATATTATATCCTTCTTGGGTCTCTGATGGAGTTGAAGATGAGATAGTTAGAGTTTTCCTTGTTACCAAATTCAGAAAAGAAACTTAAATAAAAAATGTAAAGTTTCTAAGGTTGAGAAACATAAAAGCTTGACTTGTTTATCTAAAAAATGTTTTGAGGCCTAAAAAAGATAATTTTGGGTTGGTAATACAAGTTACGAAAGAAAGTAAATCAGGTACACAACTTTGGACTCACCAAGATAGGATAGATAATGGAGGGTTTTCTCTGAATTTGCCAAATGCATATGGACTCCATAGTGTAAGTATAATTCTTATTTGATAATTGTTCTTGTTGTACACAGTCTCTGAATGTTAAAGCTGAAACCTTTTTATTTAGACAAAAAGGGAGAAATGTGGCAGAGTATTTGTTTTTGCAAAGATGTGTTACATTTGTTTGTTGTGGGATACGTATTTAACTATGCAAAGATGTGTTGCATTTGTTTATGTTGTGGAATATTTGTTTAATTATATAAAGAAGTGTTGCTGTTTTACCTTACCTGCCTAAGGCTCCTGATTGGTCTAATAAAAAGCTGAACAGCCAATAGCAAGGGAGGAGGTATAGGTGGGATTTCCAGGCAGGGAGAGTAAGTAGGAGGAGGAATGGGGAAGAAAGAAAAGAGATGCCAGGGAGATGCCAGGGGCCAGACACACAGACATGCAGGCAGCAGAAAAGTAGGACATACAGAATGAAAGAGAGGTAAAAAGCCCTGAGGCAAAACATAGATGAATAGAAATGGCTTCAATTAAGTTAAAAGAGCTAATGTGACAAGCCAAAGTCAAGGCCAAGTATTCATAATTAATAAGTCTCCATGTCTTTATTTGGGAGCTGGTTGGTGGCTCAAAAAAAATTCCAACTACACAGAAGTTTTTGTTTGTTAGCTTTTGTTTTTGTTTTTGAGACAGTGTTTCTCTTTGTAGCCCTGGCTGTCCTGGAACTCATTGTGTAGATCAAGTTGACCTCAAACTAAGGGCTCCATCTGCCTCTGCCTCCCCAGTGTTGGGGTTAAGGGCTTTTGCCACCACTGCCCATTTACAGAAGTTCTTAATGTTAATGAAATTCAATTTACCATGTCCTTTTTAGTATATTTTCCCATCTGTGTTCTCCAAGAAACTTGACTGCCTTGTTTTGGCTCTATATTGAAGTCTATAACCCACTCTAAATTAATTTTTGATGACTGTGTAAAAGGGTTAAGGTTTCTTTTTCCAACACAGTTATCTCATCAACCCATTTTTCTTAAATAGCCAACAAAGTGGAGTGGAGTCTGTCATAAATACCATGTTGATCTGCTGCTGGGCTCTTTATTCTATTTTTAGTTTGATTTGTTCTTTGTTGGTGTTGGTGGTAATGTTCCCAGAACAGCAATAAAAAGCTGTATAGAGGAAACACAGACAAAGTCCTCCCACCTTTTCTCCCCAGGGTGACCACAAAGCCACTGCGGGGAGATTTATCTCCCCTCCATTTTATCAGACATCAATGCTCACACGGTCTGTATTTACAAAGACATTTTTAATGATTTGGAGAAGATTTACCAGTAAAGTGGAGAAAGTCAAATGTAAATATGTAAAATGGTATAATTTGCAAATCATAGGTAGCACCATATACCGTGGCTCTAAGTGTTTAGATTGGCTAACTCATTTAATCCTCATGATAGCCTTAAAGGGTGGGTCAATTGCCCAGTGACACACCAATACACAGTGGACAGAGAGTTCAAATCCAGGCAATCCAGTCCAGAGTCCAAGCTAGTAATAAAGCACACTTGAAACCTGTGAGAATGGCAGCTGCGTCTGTCTCTGTGGGGGGTTTGTTACTTACATCTGACTCACTACTATTATTTTCTTCCAGGACTCACTGCTCCATTTCTCTTGCCTTCCCACACTCAGCACAGATGCACCATGACTTTACTGCGGGCTCTGTGAAAGCAAGGTCTGATCTGAAGAGACGTTCACCTTCAGATGCCCAGAGCAACCAGCTTCTGCCACACAGCCAGTGCACACGGGGCCCTGTCCCAGAGCAGATTGTCAGGGAGACAATGTCAAAAGGAGAGGTGAATTCAGGTTCCTTTCTGTGTGTTCCAGGATGGTGTAGTGGAAGGCGCTGGAAGCTAATACCTATCCCTTGAGTTTGGACATGGACCGGGCAAGCTGTGCAAGCGTGGACTATAACGTTCACATTCTTAGATTCTTTCCTGTAACACTGACTCAAACAGAGTATCTCACATCTACAAGGCTGGCATATAGTAGATGATCAATGGTTATTTGACTTTCTTGAGTATTTTTGTAATAATTAGGTCATTTTTAATATTTGTCTACTTATTGTTTGCTTATTTTGTTTATTGCTGTGCTGGGGACTGAACCCATGTTTTATACATGCGAGGCAAGTAATTTGCCACTGAGCTACATTCCAGCTCTCAAGTTTCTTAATTCCTCTGTACTTCATTTGTTTATCTATAAAATAAAATGATGAATAATTTCTAATTCTGTGTTTAGGATTATTGTTAGAATTAAAGGTAATAACCACGTATTACATAGAACTAACGGTCTGGTATAGAGCATTGTATACAAATATCCAGTAAAGGATGTCTGCTTATTATTATAGGTGAAATGCCATCTGCAGTGCTTGGCACACAGTCAATACTCTAAGTAGGTGAGGCCCAATCTATCGTTTTTGGTCCGGACAGAGTTATATCTGTCTGCTCCTGGGAAAAGGGTTGGCTCTGCCAAGAGTTGGTGATGTACAGTCGCCACCCAGTGGTTGACATTTACCACTGCACCCTCAACTTCTGGTATGACTTCCTGGATTCATTCCTACCTTAAGGGTACTCTTCCCTGTGCATTTCCTTAGGAGCCCAGAGACAGAGGAAATGGAGCTTACAGTTAATTCAACAAAACTTAATGGTCAATTACACATCCCAGTGGGGAAGGTGTATGGGTTGTCTAAGACAGTGGTTGCCAACCAGGGGTAATTTTGCCCATAAGAGGATATTGTTTTGGCAATATCTAAAGATGTCTTTGGCTGTCATAACTTGAGGAGGCATGGTGTACGGTATCTAGAGTATACAGACCAAGCATGCTGCCAAGTATTCTAAGGTCACAAGACAGCCCCCATAAAAGATTATCTGGTCTCAGGGCTGGAGAGATGGCTCAGTGGTTAAGGGCACTGGTTGCTCTTCCAGGGGTCCTGAGTTCAAGTCCCAGCAACCACATGGTGGCTCACAGCCATCTGTAGTGAGGTCTGGTGCCCTCTCTGACCTGCCTGAATACATGCAGGCAGAACCCTGTATGTGTACATAATAAATAAATAATTAAATCTTTAAAAAAAGATTATCTAGTCTCAAACTTCACCAAGGTCAAGATACTCTGGTCTAGGATGATTGTTTGGACCTCCCATGGGCATTCTGGGCATCAGGAAAAGCCATGGAAATGCTGTCATGTGAAGCGTCAGCGTTATGTCTATCCATTTCATATAAGTGGGAGGAAGACGCTAGCTAGGAATTGGCATAGCTTACAGAACTCTCCAAAGACATGGGAGGGGCATCCTTGTACAGCACTCAGGCCTACAATGCTGTATTCAGTGCTATCACTGAACATGTACAAAGTCACTAATCACACTGAAGGACTTATACACAGAACATGTCTTAGTCGGAAAGTCGCCAAATAGGCCATTTACTCACGAAGCTCAGTTAGGAGAGTCTGAGGCTGGGGAGGGAGCTGCTGGTAGGATGTTTATGTTTCTTTCACATGTATGAGCATTTTGCCTGTGTGTATGCGTGTGTGCCATGTGTGTGCAGTTCCTGAGAAGGTCACAAGAAGTATTGGATCCCCTGGAACTGGGGTTGCAGATGGTTATGAGCCACCATGTGGTTGCTGGGAACCAAATCTAGGTCCTCTAAAAGAGCAGCAAGTGCTTTTAACTGCTGAATCATCTCTCCAGTCCCAAGCCCAAGATCTTAGGTTCACCACCAAAAAGTAAATTTATGTAGAGCTGGAGAGATGACTCAGCGATTAAGAGCAAAGGACCTGGGTTTGGCTCCCAGCACCAACAGATGGCTCACAGCATCTGTAACTCCAGTCCAGGGGATCTGACACCCTCTTCTGACCCCTCTGGACACCAGGCAGGTACATGGTACATATACATGCATATAGGCAAAACTCTTATACACATAAAGTATGTGTAAACTAGGAGAGCTACAGCCTTCTGTGCAAGCAAACGAAACAAAACACTATGAACCAAGGAGGGACTCTACTTCTCACATGCTGACATTTCTGTAACAAATTTAGGAAGCTCTGAGGTCCCTCCTTTTCTTTTACATCTGTTCTACATTAAAGAACAACGGACAGTGAATATTCAGAAGAGGGTCTACGCAGCAGGACCAGGAGGCCAGGTGGCAGAACTGTCTATGCAGCATGCTCTCTTGAGCCTGGGAAGAGAATAAAAGGTTCAGAATATGGACCTCTCAGACCTTTCCAGCACCGCATTATAATCAATAAAGCAGGCAGAGGGGCTCCCCATCCCCATCCCTGGGGGTCATTGGAAGCCTCAACTGTCCAGCCTGATGGGTACCTGTGCCCACTGCCGACTCTTGTGTTCCGCCTCCCAGCCCCCATCCGTGTGCGGCCTGGATACCCTGGTGCAGCCCTGTGTGAGGCGAGAGAGACCTTTGCCTCTGCCTGGGGATGGGAGCGAGATTTCAGAGCTCATTCTCAAGTCTCTAGCTCAGGGAATCAATAAACTTGTGCTGACAGATATTACTTTGAGTTCTATTCATATGTTAATGGATGTTCTGCCGCCTGGTGAGACCTTGCTTCTTTTTGGTGTCTGGTGGGAATCATTTGATCCACAGGCTGGAATGGGAGGCATCTTTCCTCTCCTTTCCTGTTTACCTGATCAGTCTGTTCCCTCTAAGGCGTGATGTGAATTTTCAAAGATTGCAAAAGTTCCTTGGAAAAGCTCTCTCTGGAATCATCCTTTGAATTTTTGTTTCCTGTGTCTACAGTGCTTCTATTTTCCAGAGAAATTTCAGAAAAAGACTGTGGAAAGAACCAGACAGCTTCGGCTGCCAGTTCTCATCTTTCCACGTTGTTTGAGACAGGGTCTCCCTGCCACTGCATACGTCAGGATCCTGGTCCTGAAGAGTCTGGAGATTCTCCTATGTCTGCCTCCCGTGTCCCATAGGCATGCTAGGTTCGCAGGTGCCTGCACTACTGAGTCTGGCTTTTATGGATTCAGTGGCAGGTCCCTGGGCCTATATGGCAAGTGCCTGTTACCACTGAGCCATTGGCCCACTCCTGCTCCCATCCACCCCGATTTCTGACCACACTCTTCAGTCTGTCCAGCTTGCACTTGCTTTCTCCTAGAGCATCTCATAGAGGTGCTTGGTACCCAGACCTCTGCACATCACCCTGGCCTCCTGTTCAGTTTATATGCCTAGATTCTTGCCCAGAAAACTCTAGTAGCCACACTCTTCTGCCTGGAAGCAGGTCTCTTGACTCCCATGACCCTTTGGTATGTCCCTGGATATACTAGCCGTTTCCATGGCTCATTTTGACTGGTGTGCAGATCTTGCTGTCCTGTAAGTGCAGTGGAAATCCAGAGCTCTGCTGGACTGGAAATGGTCTGTGTCTTGTTTTGTTCTCCAAGAATCTCATCGTGTAGCCCGGTGTGGTTTTGAACTTGATATGAGGCCAAGGGTGACCCTGAAGTCCTGATGCTCTCGCCTCCAGGTCTTCAGTGCTGGGCTTACAGGTGTGCAGCACCACGCCTGGCTTGGCCTGTGTCTCTCAACCGGAGCTGCCATTCTGAGCTCTTCTCTCTAGTCCACCGCCCAGCCCCGCCTTTTAGAAACCGACTACTCTCCAACAACTCACTGCTGGCTCAGTGTGCCCTGCCCTGGGGGCTTTGGTAGGAAACACCCCGCCCTCTACTTCCTGATGGCTCTGCCATCCCATCTCCAACACAGACCCAGGCTCACCGGAGAGGCAGTGGAAATTACCAACAGTTTTTTCATCTGTTTGTTGGCTTTGCTTCTTGGAAGTTAATATTGTATCTCCCTTTGTCTGGTCATTTGTTTGCCTGACATCCCAAAATGCCTCCTGGTCGGGAATCAGTACCTCAAGTTCCTTCGGAGCGAAACCACATTCTTCAGTAGAACCCCTACAGAAGACTGATGGCGAAGCCTTAGCCTGGCCACCAAATTATGGTGGGTGAGTAGCTATTTGTTGAAAAATAGATGCAAGGTAAATCACGCACAGGGTACATTTCCCTTCTCACTGTAATGAAGCTTAGTACAAGAGTCTCGATGAACCATGCCTCACTTTCCTGGAGGGTGAGACTGAAAAGCTCCTTTCAAGTAATAATGGGAGGCATTGAAGCATGAGCGGGTGATTTGATGGAATTCTCTCGAAGCTCTGCTAATTCTGTCTCAGTACGCCCAACACACACAGCCAGAGCCAATCCCAGGAAATGACTGAATCATTTATTCGGCTTTGGGTTATTTGTGTTGTTTCTTTTTTCCTCCGAGCTTTCAAGTTCAGTCTAAATTTTTTCATTTGCTTCCTATTGCCTTTTTTTTAATAGCTGGAGTACATTTTCCATTTTTTTCTGCACAGCCCATAGACTGATCATGAGGTGTCATCAACCATGCCTAAGTCTGCCTGGCTGGTCACCTGTGAATAAGGAACCACATTCCTTCATCCAGTCTGTGCTGGAGGCTTCAGCATGGACTTCTCTCTTGTTCAGCCTGAAATTTCACATTCTCTTGTCAATAAGCTCATGTCTGAGATGTGCATAGTGACTGACAGTAGTTGTCACGGGGAGAAATAACTGTATCATTTGAGACCCACAATCTCCAGCAGACCCTAGCTATCTGTCTACCCAGAGGTCATCTTTAGACGTGAAGAGCCCCAGAAAAGTGAAGGTCCAGGAATGGGAAACTACCTGTGTACAGTTAGCTACATAGCTACAAAAGGTGATTGTCACGTCTAAATTCCATGTCCTTTATAGTTAACGGTATCATTTTAGTCACTGTGTCATCTTTAGTTGAATGAAGATTTCTTTTTAAAAGATTTTATTATAATTGTTTTGTTTTGTTAAGACAAGGTCTCACTAGGTAGTGTGTTGATGTCCTGGAGCTTGCTGTGTAGAACAAGCTGGCTTCAAATTCACAGAGATTCACATGCCTCTGCCCCCAAGTGCTGGGATTAAAGGCGTGCACCACCATGCCCCGCCCTCAGAGATCTTTGTCTTGCTTGTTTTAGTTGTGTGTAAGTGTGGGAGAGTTATGGACACATGTATACCTTCAGCACACCATTCCATAGCACTAACAAGCCAGTGCTGTCCGCATGGTAACATACCCTAGGACCCATGAAATTTTACAGCATAAGCCTCCTTTCACTATCAAATGAGCTTGCTGGTTGTGAGTCACATGTGGAAGTAACATTGTAGGAAAGATGACTGTCCTTGTGACTCTCTGGACAAT